CTATCTTTTAATCGGTGTATTTTAAATAAACTAAGACTGGTTGCTATGACATTATGTTTACCAATTAGTGAAAGACTTGTTCTGTTAAATTGTACTACTTTCTATAGCTATTTTTGTTTCCGCCGCTCGCCTCTCCTGGTTGGGCTCAGGTGTTACCGGGTGTGGCCGAGGTACGTGACCAGATTACCCGCGGCACAACGAGACTGGATTTCGGCCAACACGGACGTGTCCAACTAAGCTTCTCTCCATCGAGTCACCTTCAAAGAAACTTAAAGGTAAGTGCATTCCCCTATCTCCATATCTCACGACTTCAACGGCAAAATATTGACATGACCCCTATAGCTGTAACAACTGTGGCAAGGTCAAATTACCTGACGGGGGCCTGACTCACACAAAGAAGGTCAAATGTAGCCCTGGGCCTGATCAACATTACACTGTCACTTCAGTCCTGGTCCACTATGTTTTGCGTTAGTGACCAATCGGACATTTTCTGTCTTACAATGGACGCGCTGTAACAGGTGCTTGGTGACAGCAGAACAGCTGACTGACTGACTGAGTTTGGTTTTACGCCGCTTTTAGCAATATTCCAGCAATATCACGGCGGGGGACACCAGAAATGGGCTTCACTCATTGTACCCATGTGGGGATTCGAACCCGGTTCTTCGGCGTGACGAGCCAACGCTTTAACCGCTAGACTACGCCACCGCCCCAACAGCAGAACAGACTATTTACGACTGGTGGTGGTGGAACAAAAAGAATGATTGTCGATAGAGTTATATTTTCTACAAATACGGTGTAGCTATCTGTTTTTCCCGCACAAACATGCACTTTACCACACATATACTCATGCCAATAATGGTTGTCACCCCCTCCCACCCCAACCCTTACAATAACAATAATCCAATAAAAATTGAAGGTGACAACCATTATTGGCATGAGTATATATATATATATACCTCTGTGTTGGCGTCCCAAACCATGGCTCGCACATTTTATTCTGAGACGTACATGTGTTTGTCCATATGATCTAGGTTTCGTCTAAATTAGTTTCAAGGGATGTAAGTCTCGCGTCGAAATGTAAAAGAGCATACCGCGTAAATCGATTTCGGTTTACCGCCCATACCTTTGCGTTGTGTTCCATCAGGCAGGGGGCGGTGGGGTAGCCTAGTGGTTAAAGCGTTGGCTCGTCACGCCGAAGATCCGGGTTCGAATCCCCACATGGGTACAATGTGTGAACCCATTTCTGGTGTCCCCTGCCGTGATGTTGCTGGAATATTGCTAAAAGCGGCGTAAAACCAAACTCAGTCAGTCAGTCAGTCCATCAGGCAGCCCTCATTACCGACACGCCCTAGCTGGCAGACTCCTGGACGGGTTATCAATTTTAATGGCAGAAACAAAACGAGAGGTAGGCGATAGCCCCTTATTAAATCAAAGTTTAAGCTACAGTGATACAGGACAAAAACGCCGTGTTTAGTCACAATAATACCTGCCAACTTCCCCTTCCCTGTATACTTCATTCTGTTCATCCCCATCGCTCTAAGAATGTGATGTCCCTAAACAAACTTGTTTCTAGGGGCGGTGGGGTAGCCTAGTGGTTAATGCGTTTACTCGTCACGCCGAAGATACCCCACATGGGTACAATGTGTGAAACCCATTTCTGGTGTCATGATATTGTGATATTGCTGGAATACTGCTAAAAGCGGCGTAAAACTAAACTCACTCACATATTTCTACTCCCCTGTTTCTCTTGACCAAAACTATCACTCATTGCTGAATAACATTTATTAAAAAAGGATAATAAAAGGTCTTGATACAAGATTTTACCAGATGCTGGCTACACGCCGACTCACAATTCCTTACCCAGGGTTTTACCAAGAAAATTGACACAACAAATGAACATGCTCTTTCCCTCCCAGTCCTCCAACATGCCTATACCCGTGAAGATCCGGGCTAAAATTGATCTTCAGTAAGCCATGCTTGTCGTAATTTATAAGAGGCGACTAACGGGATCGGGTGGTCAGACTCGCTGACTTGGTTGACACATGTCATCGTATCCCAAATGCGTAGATCGATGCTCATGATGTTGATCACTGGATTGGCTGGTTCAGACTCGCTTATTTACAGACCGCCACCATATAGCTGGAATGTTGCTGAGTGCGGCGTAAAACTAAACTCACTCACTCACTCCAGCATGCCTTGGTCTGCCGCCTCACCGAGCATGATAACGTCACGTCACCCAAAGGGCGTAAGCGTCTAAAATAGATGACAATCAAGACAGCTACTTAGTCATCCTGTCAAACACTCCCTCGCTGTACTGCCGGCCCAGTTGTTCGGCATGGGGCATGAGACTGCAGCATTCCTGACGGAGTAGGACGAAGGTCTTCCTCCGTCTGCCGGATCAATGACGGTCTCATTCGTGACCCACTCGGGTGATTCCGGGACAAGCCGAATAGTGACTCGTGCTCCTGTCGAAGGGTTTCATATTGGGGTATGATTGATTGATTGTTGTTTGACGCCGCACGAAGTGGCATAGGGAGTGTTGTGTAGAGGAAGGAGAGTGGATTTTTCAATTAGCAGGAATATGGTACCAGTAGATCAAAGAGTTTGGATCCTGGCTGGTTGGTTGATTAGTTATTCCAGTTATGTTATCCACATTGTTGAACCAGTGTCCTGTCTATCATATGTGCACATATCACTTTTGCGCAGCAACCATTGTTTCTGTATTCAGTCGTCTGTGACGTCATTAAACAATTGAACATGACGTCATTGAAGAGGATCGTCACACTTGCTTACCGTGTTTTACTGCACAAATGTTCATGTATAAATGGGTTATAAAGAAATTATTACACTCACAAGTGTACACGACTTATATGAAACTCGTGCAAAATTATGTATTGCCCTCGCTCTCGGGCAATACAAAATTTCACACTCGTTTCGTATAAGTCGTATGGCACACTTCCGTATGTATAGTCCGTTTGGCTCAAAAGCGGACCGATGAATTGCAATCTAAATCGAAAACTAATAAACATACAATACTCAATGAAACGCTGATCATAATCAAAATATCAGACTAACGAATCCCGGATGGGACTCAACCCAAAAAGTACTAGAATCTGTACTTTACTAAGAAAGTGTAATCCCAAATATAACATACGTTACTTTTGACCACTTTCTAAAATGTCATTGTGTATTTCATAACACTGTGATTTGTTTGCAGAATTTTAATTCCTCAAATTAAAAAAAGTTGTTTAACAAACTATCATTAAAATTTTGACACAGTTCAATATTTGTTAGGACGGAGGAGGGCAGAGAAAGTTACAGCCAGGTGTTAGAGAAGCACGTGCAAAGTGCCGACAAAGCTATTGATTCATTAACCTGTGCTGTGCCGTCTCCTTTCTCGCACACCTGGCTGTCCCTTTCTCTGCACTCCTCCCTCGAAACAAAAATGTGAACTGTGTCAATATTTTAATGATAGTTTGTTAAACAACTTTTTTTATTTTTAGGACATAAATTCTGCAAAAGCCTCACAGAGTTGGTCTGACGTTTTGATTATGATCAGTGTTTTATTGAGTATTTTATGTTTATTAGTTTTCGAGTTAGATTGCAATTCATCAGTCTGCTTTTGAGCCAAACGGACTATAATAATCTCTGTAAGTCATCGAGTCTGGAATAAACAACCCAGTGATCGACAACATGAACATCAATCTCCACAAACTGGAATAGAGTTATCGTTCTTTTATTACCCCAATATACCCGTGAAGATTAGGGTTAGAACTGTTCTTCAGTAACCCAAGCTTGTCGTAAGAGGCGATCGAGTGGTCAGACTCGCTCACTTGGTTGACACATGTCATCGTATCCCAATTGCGTAGATCGATGCTCATGATGTTGATCACTGGATTGGCTGGTTCAGACTCGACTTTTTAAAGATCGACGCCATATAGCTGGAATATTGCTGAGTGCGGCGTAAAACAACAAACAAACAACACAAACACACCTATCAAGAAGATGTATGAACTATAGAGACTTACAGGTAATAGAACATATCCAGAGCAGCCAGTGAATTCCTGACACAGGACCGCCTCCGTGGTGTAGTGGTTAGGGCGTCCGCCTGGAGAGCGGAAGGTCGCGGGTTCGATCCCCGACCGCGTCATACCAAAAGACGTTAAAATATGGTACTTGTTGGTCTCTGCCTGGCGCTCGGCATTAATGGGTCCAACAAGGACTGGTCGGCTCGGAGTCAGTATAATGTGTCTGAGTGGGGTATTCATGCTTCACTGCGGCATGGTATCTCAGTGAGTTAGCATTATAAAACCAGCTTCAGTCTGGGCTAGTACAAGCAGCCGCACATACACATACACACGCAAGCACGTCGTCATATGAGCGAAATATTCTCAAGCACGACGTTAAACCCAATTTCACCTCACCTCACCTGACACAGAATCCTCTGCAAGAGCTTAAAACTGAGAGGAAAATAAACTCTAAGTTTTATTCATACGAAAAGTTGCGTTATTGTCGGGGTCGCCAGCTGGAACTCCACACGGTGATTAATGCTCCAGAATCCCAGCTGAAGTATGTTATCTTCACCTGAGATATGTGTTGATCAGTAAGGCGCCCGGGACCCCCTCCCTTAAGGGGCAATGTCCACGGGCTCTTTCACAATGCTGCAGCACGCACCTGACACACCTGTCCGCTCTGCGTAATGCCCGAGTAACCTTCCATTCCTTAAAATAATGGAGCCGAGGCCCAATGGAGGCCAAAGGCGCTACATCATTTGCAAATAAGGAATGAGAGTTATTTTTAAGAGGATATTACCCTACTTAAATTACATTCGAAGTATTGGGAATGTTTCTGTTATCAAAATTAAATGTCAAAATGACAAAATGAAGGTTTTATTTGAAACTGGTACACATCTCTCCATTCCTGAAAAGTAATGGAGCGAACAGACAATGGAATGACGTCACAAATGTAATTTACCCTCTACATCACAGCCATATGCAAATATACCAGGGGTGTTTTGCATCAGGCGACAGTGGATTTTCCGAAGCACTGCTGCAACACATTGAATAATGGGATCTAAGTGGATTTACCACTAGCTGTATACCTTGGACAGACACAAACCATTTTATCAGTCACTGGGAAAACACTTCACTTTGACTTTATCAATGTCACGGAAGAAGCTTATCGGCGTGGAGGTGAGAGACCCTGTGGTGGCGTAAGAATACATGTGTTGCAATCCTAGCTGTCTGTTGCAAAACGCCCGAGAAGATCGTCACATTGATCGTTCCCTGTTAAATAGGACGATAGGACTCAGAGCGTGAAAAAGGACTACCTCAACCTCAAGGTATGGTGTACGATTCATTAACCATGTACCAAATGATGCATCTCAAGTTAAACTGAATGTAAATGTGCATTTTGCATGGGTCTGCGGCGTTGAAGCTTACGTTATCACATGGTATTGAACCTCAGTCGTCACCGTCCAGATAAGTACTGATATGATGCCTGTGCCTTTATTACCGTCGTCGATGTCGGTGACAATCAGACGCATGGTGAGGCGGTGTTGCTATCACCTCTCGGCGTCTTTCTGTTAAATATTCATGGCGTGTGCAGGTGAGCTTGTCCACAGTGTGACCCCTTCATCACGGCAGAGAACATTCACCCTCAAACTATGTTGAGACCGTGGTTGCCGATTTCCCGTCGTACATTCTTGCCATTTATAAATATCCTCGTAGGTTTGTCACTGACAAGTGTGGACAATGAATTTCATATCGGTTTCTGAAGATTGAAACAAGCAGGGAACCGTTCGTGTTGTTCCAGTGACAGCCGAGTCGATGTGTGTACAGGCTTGTGCTCATGCGCAACATGTCAGTAGCCCGTTTCTGAAGCTGCTTATGAAAAGCGGATGCAATGCTCCGTGACACTAAGGTAGTTGTGCGGAGTATGTGTTTGTGGGTGGTTCGAATGGCGGGTCGTCCCGGTTAAGTGTCCATGTTTTCAGCACGATTCTCGTGGGTTTCATCAAAGTACTGAATATCTGAGACCAGCATGTAATACCTCGGACATGCCTCCACCTCCAGCATGCACCCCGAGATTTAGCATCCAATACTCCAAGTTCCAGAGGAGATATCGCTTGTAGAAGATCAAGCGATGTCTCCTTGGAGATATAGTTTTGGCAAGTTTTGAGCTAATTGCTGATTGGTCAATACTTTCGGACAGCTTTCATCTCAGCTGTAGACAAATATGGCTGTTTCTTTTTTGAGGTCGAAAGAGTTATTTTTGTTCATGATTTGTTCTGACGACATAACAGTACTAGTTTACTTAAAAGACTACTAATAAATGGGGAAATATATATATTGCAGAATTTAAGGCAATAAAAAAATTATGTGCTTGTTTTTTATGACGTAATGGTGTCACTCGTTCTCCCTTCCATCACTCTTGTTCACCTGGATGTATTCATACGCAGATCCTCAAATGATATTGTTACAGATGGTGTTTCGTTTTTAATTTCTCTTGAACCACAAATTAAGTAATATTATGAGAGAAAGTGAGAAAACTCCGAGGTTTCTCACTTTTATCAACTCATGGTGACATATTTGATATCAAAAGACACGAGGGTGAGATTCTCTATATATCGCAATAACGTTCAAAGCTGCTTAAACCAACCTCCCTCACCTAAATACTGCAAATGTCTGAATCCTAGAATTATTAACAAGTAGATTCAGATATCAGTGGATCTTATTATTATAGGATTATTATAGGATATTTATACAGCGCACATATCCACGCTACTAGCGCATGTGTTGTGGGAACCATATCCTCTCATTTTGATTACAGATTTGTTATCGCTGCAATAGTCCAAGATGGCTGCCATAAGAAGTTTGTTGGCTGTGGTATCGATCTTCCTCATGATAAACAGTGTTGAGATGAGTACGTCATTATTACTGAAACATGCATTATTATTATGATGTCCTCATCTTTATTTGATTAATTAATCCCTCACATAACTAACGCAATAAAATTGTTCAATTGTAGATCGATGATCATGGTGTTGATCACTGGATTGTCTGGTCCAGACTCGATTATTTACAGACGGCCGCCATGTATTTGGAAAATGGCTGAGTGCGGCGTAAAACAACAAACAAGCACCATAATACTAACTTTGGTTGCATCACTGAATCTACCCCAACACAAATTGATATAACTATATAATTGCTTGTTATCATGTAAGATAAACAATATGATGTATATTCATGTAACTGTCACGTGATGTTTCCGTCGTCACGGCAATTCGCTGGTCAGAGTTGCTATCCTTGCTATGATTGTGGGTTTGCGTCCCGACTCGCCCCGTTATGCGCGTCTTCACCCATTCTCCAGGATTAAACATTAGAGACCTGTTACGGGACCTGACAGGTCGTGATATAACTGGAACGCTGCGGTATTGAACCCATATCACTCACTCACTGTTTTCGTCTTTGCAGAGACTGAAACCTGCTGGGCCAACGACCAGTGCGGGTCATGCTCCTCGGCACAGCCGAATGTCTTTGGTGTGGGCACAGTTTGCTGTCCGGGGTGTGCCCCCGGCGTTCTGCAGATGGTTGAAGGCAGATCGTGCACGTGCGACGTTTCCGTTGCAGGTCCTCCTCTGAGAGTGTCAGTCTTTGCGTCCGCAATCACACTGACCCTGTCCATCTGCCTGAAACATCTCCTGCACTGAAACCTGTTCTTTCTGACACTGTCAGTCTGTGTTATACATTTGCTTATATATACCCCGTCCTCTGAAACTGTCCATCTGTCTGCAACATCTCCCATAATGAAGCTTGGTATTGATGACATTCTTAATTTGCCTGAAACATGTCCTACAATGAAGCTTGGTATTGATGACATTCTCCATCTGTCTGCAACATCTCCCATAATGAAGCTTGGTATTGATGACATTCTTAATTTGCCTGAAACATGTCCTACAATGAAGCTTGGAATTGCTGACATTCTCCATCTGCCTCAAAGATCTCCCACAATGAAGCAAGACCCTTCTTACACTGTCCATTGATGCATCTCCTACATATATATCTTGTCCATGACAACCTGTGCTATTAACTCTGTGTTAATACAATATAAATCTAGACCATAATTTGGTCTTTGTGCTTGCTGTTCAAGAAGCCATATGCCTAGCATGAAGATGCACCATATGAAGACGTCATAACGGTCATGACAAGCATCTGAAGTGTGTTATATTTAACATCTGTTTCAGTTTTCTATGGACATTCCCTTTGCGTATGGAAAATGTATAAAAATGTTCCTTTTTCTATAAAGTTTCTTTGTGTTTTCTTTTTGTATTTGATGAAATTAGCAGTCAAAAAGTGTTACTATGGCGACTTGACTAGACTGCAGCAGTTGACCTGTGTCTTGGTTTGCTCCATGAGTTCGTACATAACAATGACGCACTGTCAGCTCTCATCAACCAGCTCTCTGTAAGGAAGGTTAACTGTATGAACAACTTCTATATTACAGTGAGAGCGACCTCACGTACTATTGGTTGTTATACAATGTATATTATGTAAAATACGGTGTGGTTGTTTGGAATACATAATAATTCACCAATTTTAGTACTGACACCTTGAGATTTACAAAGGGACCACAGCATATTTCTGTTTACAAAGTCAAACGATTTTACCAAATCAATAAATACGGCACTCGTTACTTTCCTTTTCGTGCTAATTATTTGCAAACGTGTCTTCAAACTGAAATACCATTGCCTGTTGTAGAGTGCCCATTCCCGTGATTTATCTGTCTTATCAAAGGAATCGGCCAAAAATGCTTAACGTTTGTGTATACATCTGATGAAAACACTCATAGCCCTGTATTTGCTGGTTTCAGTAGGTGATCCCTGTTCCAACAGTCTGCTGTTTTGGAAAATAGGTATTTGGAGCATAACGTTGAATAGAATTTCAAGATAGGGGAGGAGAATTTCGGGTGAATATTAGATATAGTTGAAATAGTTGATTCAATTTATCTTCACCAGCTGCTTTATCATTTGTAACAAAAATTAATGCTTTCTGAAATCGTATTCCTTGCTATCACAAATATCTGAAGTTAATAGGCAAATTTATTCGATTCGTCAGTATCTAAAAAATCTTTCTTTGTTTTCTGTAGAGAGGTTGCAAATGCTTCCTTGAACTATTTACGAATGGTTCTATTAAAAATATTAAATTCCAATAATAAATAGTTATTATCCCTCATTCTCCTAAAATAACTGAAATATTTACATCATATTATTTTGAATGTACTCGCATCCATGGTCAAACCACTGTCGACTAGATTTGTTGGAAGTACATACTCTTTTCATATCACCTGCTGCCTTACACAAAGCTTCTGACACATGGCTAGCACTTTCGTGTGTATTATGGAACACTTCGTCAACAGTAGTGGGAAAACATTAGCTGTTCTACAAATTGGACATAATTCGTCAATTTTATCCGAACCAAACGAATTTGAAAGCCTCCCTATTACAAATGACTCGTACGGGTTCACTCTGTGTAGAAGTACGTTTCACCCCCCGGGCATTGAGTCATGCTATCAACTAAGTAGTGGTGGTCCGATTAATTGAAATAATCGAAGATTGGTCGCAATGACTAAACGACCAAGCAGTCGATCATGTTTTCTCATACTCGATCACAAACAATTTGGGAACACTTGTTTGCTTTAACAATATTTTGCACAAGGTTGGTTTTGTCTGTTACATTTCATAAGCACTACTAAATTTATGTTCCTAACATATTAGTCATCCTTTAAAGATGTTAAATTTCTAAATGCATTTTGTGCAATTCTCAAAAAACTCGAAAGAACTACAGGTTTTTTCTTTATGTTTTGTACATTAACAAACATAACCAGAAAAATTTATAATTGACGCTGGCCAATTATTTTCGAGGATTGATCGGTTGTAATAAACCAATCATCAATTATGAAATTTTAACCAATTCCCCTGGAATATCAACTGAGTACCCGAGCCCGAGCCCCCGGTCATTGAGTCACGCTATAAAAGAAGTACCCGAACCCCACCCCCGGTCATTGAGACCCGAGCCCGAAAACACACTGTCATGCAGGAGAAACATTTCTTTGCATGGTAAAATATTATATTGCATAATGTTTATTTACCGGGATGTCGGTTATACTGAACAAATATTTGGCGACATTCAACACGACCACTCTACTCTCTGAAATGATTACACACGCGAGTAGCGTGTGGGAAATACGCCTTTGGCCTGTTATTCACGACACAGGACACAGACAACAACGTCGTCCTCGATCGTGACCTATTATTGTTTCAGCGATGCGTAAGCTCTCATGGATGACTGTCAAGCGAGCTTACCTCATCGACTGTTTGTCGTCCGCCCAACGTCAGCAGTTTCTCCTTAAAAAGCAGTGAACAAAACAAGTTCCAAACTCCCATTCCTCTTCCTACCAGTGATGGCAGCCTATATATCGAAGGCAGAGAAAAGCATATTCAAAAATCTATGTGTGGTCCTTACTGAGGTATATTTGTTTCACTAAGAATCACATTTAGTAAATGTGTAGGTGCAGTTCACCAAATGTTCTCTGTTTTTGTTAACGTTATAACATTTGCCTGGATAATACGTTTGAACTTTCACAATGCTGAAAAATGTCCGTTGTTGAGCCTTTTCTTTGTGAAATGCAGTTGAATTCAGCTCATGTGTAATATGTAGTCGGGCACAACACAAGTGTTCCAGTTTTTGCGATTCTTCACGTAGGCCATGTTCCAATATTCCCTCAAAATACACTGAACACTACAGCTTGACGAGAAACTACTGGACAATGTAGCTGAAACTCCACACGCTTGTTCCAACAATATTGACACCTGAGCAAATTCAAGAGGCTCGGGTCCGATTTTCAAAATGGCCTATACGGCAGCCATATTGAAAAACTCGTTTAATGGCCACTTTTGAAAAGCTGTAATGAAATAAGGTACTTTTATAGGTTGGTGTGCGAGTTTCCATGTCCCACGTGTTCCACTTGACGTGTTGACCTCTACCCAGCCCGTCTGGGTGTCTTCCCAAAAGTTAGACGTCCCAAAAGTTAGACGCGTTAAAACAACATAGGTTATGGTTGGTTGCACTGAGGTTCACTACACTGTTACCTTCGTTAATTAATGGACTAGTCCAAATGTACTAATCAAAACATAACGAGAAGAGATTATGGATAATGACAATGACTTTATTTGACATAAAATAAAATAAGTTAATTCAACAAGATAATTTAAATGATAAATAGATGACTTTGTAATGACTTTATTTGGCATAAAAACAAAATAAGTTAATTTAACACGATAATTTAAATGGTCAATCAAATCATTCAAGATTTAAGATTTCACATCTTTCACATCATTCACTATACAGGCAAGAATGTCAACCAAGTCTGAGCAAATGCCCAAATGCATCGAGGAACACCATGTTTGTCATCCCTACTGCACGCAGTCTCTCTTGCAGACGGACCCGTGAAGATCCGGGGTAGAATAGGTCTTCAGCAACCCATTGTTGTCATAAAAAGGCGACTATGCTTGTCGTAAAAGGCGACTAACGGGATCGGGTGGTCAGGCTCGCTGACTTGGTTGACACATGTCATCGGTTCCCAATTGCGCAGATCGATGCTCATGCTGTAGATCACTGGATTGTCGGGTCCAGACTCGATTATTTACAGACCGCCGCCATATAGCTGGAATATTGCTGAGTGCGGCGTAAAACTAAACTCACTCACTCACTCTTGCAGACGCATCAGCCTGTTCTCAGTTTCTCTGTAGACCCTCTTCCTCTTTGTGGGAGCAGCACCAACGTTGATCTGCTGGAGTTTAGCTCTCTCTGCGATCTCAATCTTCTGGATGATCTCTACAAATCGGTAGATGTTAGGATGGTGATGTGGGAGTGCCTTGTTTAATCTACTGTGAAAGCCTTCCAGGTCTGTAGGGCCCCATTATCATGTTTTGATCAAAGTGAACGTTGTGAAAACAAGTATGTAAAATCTATAATCATGTTATGATAAAATTGAGCATGTGAAAACACATTTGGAAAACCCAGTGATTGAGTTAGTCAGTCAACATTAGTATTCTGATGAAAGTATTTCTGTACAAATGTGAAAACAATCTCGTTAGTGTATGGGACAGGTTCATTATATCAGTGGGTAAGACTAGGTTGCAATCACAGTCACGTCTGATTGATTTGTCTGACAAATTGGATGTTAGTTTTGGGACGTCTAACTTTTGGGAGTAAACCCCCGTCTGTATAGAGACAAAGCACGGACCTCGGAGAAGACAATTATCTTCAGCGTGGCCTAATGAAACCTGGCCTGCTGATTAACAGAATTGGTTCTTGGTTACCGTTCACAATTAACTACTTATACACTTAGTAATGGTAATTTCTTTCAGAATTAAGGAACACTGAATACACTCCTTGAGTGAGTAAACGTTGTAAGTAAAACTACGTTAGCCTACCATACAGACACACAGGCACTTGGCCAGAAATTACCTCTTGGTAAATTAATGAAAGCACGACAAAATGTGCCGACTTTACAAAGAGAAACATAGGCACTTGGCCGAGTCAGTTTAATCTAGAAGCTATATATATATATATATATATATTACCTAAAGACTAGCTGCTATAAAACAATGTGCCCTAAACATATATGCAATAACACCAGCAGTACAGAACACAGAAACTATCTTACACAATCCGTATCCACGTTTCGTGACTTCGGTGGCGATCATCAGGAAACAAGCAGTATCAGGTGGGTCACGTGTGGCCTTAGAGTCACTCGACGTGTTGACCACTACCCATCCCGTCTTTATAAAACAAACAAAGCACTGACTTCGGAGAAGACAATTATATCTTCAGCATCGCCTAATTAAACTTGGCCGGCTGATAAACAGAATTTGACCTAGTTTGCCACACAAAATTAGCTACAACAAACTTATAAGAATAAGTACAGTAAAGTACGATGTATGTATAGAAACAACGTGAACTATACTACAAGAATGTACATTTACATTTAAATTTAGCAAAACCATGGCGAAAAAACACAAGGCTGAAAGGCAGAAGAGCTGAGCAGAAACATGCCCGCTAACAAAGGTAGAAAATGAGTACACGCGAACTACATAGCAGGGGGGGGAATTATTATCGTTTAAGGGATTGATATTTTTATGGTCATACCCCACTTTGCCGGACAGCTGATGTGATGGTAACGAATTAAAAGTAACGGTCCGCTAGTTTGCCGGCTATAGTCTGTTTTCAGTGATTAGTTGTCA